CTACCAAGAAAGGGTGTTGGAACTATGGGGAGCAAGGACATCTGAGGAGCCAGTATAAGAAAAATACCACCAATAAGTCAGCTTCGGGAAACCAATAGTGGTTGGTGCTGAGGGACGCCCACCAACCCCCATCATGAAAGTCCCAACAGCTAAGGTGTAAAATGCCAAGCACACATGGTGTCTATGTGACAGGAAAGCTGGATGGCCAAAGGTGCAGCTATGTCACAGACTCTGCGTCTCAGCAAATCCTTGTGAGCATTAAGGTGTTAAATCACGAAGAAGTACCAGAAGCCATAGAGAAGCTTTATAGTGTGACAGGACATTCTACAAGATTGTGGGGACCAGTGTGGGTGACTATTGAGCTCATGGGCATAAAGGACAGACAGAAAGTATACTTGGCTGACATGGCAGACGAATGCATATTAGGATTGGACTATCTACTACCGATGAAGTTTGTAATTGATTTTGATAAAATGACGTTTGGGAACAACAAAGGCCAAGTTCCGGTAACTGTTAAGAGAGAGGTAGAACTAACCAGGTGCCTTCAAGCTGAAGTCAAGCCGACTGAAAGAGTTGATGATGGTGAAGTGGAACCAAGTATAGATATCAAGGCAGAACAGGAGAAAGACCAAGATTTGAAGCCAATGATTGATTTTCTAAAGGCAAGTGTTTCGCACCCTGCTTGAGAGAAGGTGTCTAGTCTAAGCCCTGTGACAAAGCACTATTGGGAACAATGGGACCAGTTCAAGCTTGAAGATGGTATTCTTGTACGGAGATGGGAAACTACCGATGGGAAAGTGACGATTTGGCAAACAGTTATACCGGGGAAGTTACGGGAAGTTGTGTTGCATCAATCCCATGATAGTTTAACAGGAGTACATCTCGAAATCAAGAAGACATTGAGTCACACACGACAAAGATTTTATTGGATAGGTATGAGGCGAGATGTGGAAGAATGTTGCCGAACATGCAGTACATGTAGTGCAAAAAAGGGACTCAAGCATAAGGGATGCCCAACTTATGAAGAGTTGCCTGAGAATATGTCAGAGTTTGTGAAAATGTTATCGGAAAGGATGGATGATATTCATCATCAAGTGCGTTCAAACTTGAAAACGTCTGCTGATTCGATGAAGTTAACTTATGATAAAAGATCTACTGAAGTCTGCTTTGTACCTACTGATTCGATGAAGTTGACTTATGATAAGAGATCTACTGAAGTCAGCTTTGTACCAGGAGACAAGGTATGGTTGTATAATCCCAGGAAGATC